TGCAAAACTATGGCGAGTGGAGATGTTAAAAGGGGATGGGGTAAACCTAGAGTTATATGGAAGGAAGTTTTCTCAAAGACCTACAAATTTTTGGATTCAATTCAAACTTAGCTAAAGATAGGGAACAATGTAAGAAATAGATGCAAAAAGGTGATGTTTTTTATCAAGGGAAATTCAGTCACCAAGCAGATGCAGAGAGGCCAGACAGTACAAAAGATGTGAAATAGCTAGCTCCTGTACAAATGATTCTATGCCAAGGTGAGGGAGCTAACAAAATCAGAAATAGTAGTCAGCACTATATACGGTGTTGAGATTGTTCCAACTAAAAAGGTTAGCCAAACATTTAGCTTTGAGTGAATAGGTTGGAGTTGAGATGCCATTAAAACACATGCGGTTTCTTTCTGACAGGATACACCAAAAGATAGAAAAAAAAATAGGTTTTGGTCTTGTTAGAGAACTTCTAATATTTGGTACGATGATGACATGAGTTGAGCTTAAATAGAGAAGTGACGATTCATATAGCTGACTTCAACTTGTTTGGGACTGGGGTGTAGTTGTTGTTAGCTTATGAATCCCATTTTCACTCATGTTTTTTTGGCACAAACCCTTTTACAGCCAAAATTTGGTTTAATTTTGGTTGTGATCTAATGGCAGCTCTCTAGTAGAGTTTATAAAAAAATCTGATATTACTGTTGAATATATGTCACCTTCTTAATTGACAGTTGATTTCTCATTTCACGTACAGTTGAGTAGATTGGATGGTAACTTTTCTTGTTTTGGATACCCAATATCTTTGATGCGACAAGTCAATTGAGGGATTTAGACAAAGCTTAATAAATGAGTTTGTTCAGATTCAATGACTAACTCTGGTGTATTTTATATAAGGCTACAAATTGACAATGATTGCGTAACTCACCTATTTTTGGCAAGTCTATACTCACTGTGTATAAATTGGACGAGTGCATTTCAATTGGAACTTAGTTTAAACTAGTTCAACCTCATTGATGATGGTATGTAGGTTTATAATTGTATAGAAATCAAAACTCCGCTTTGCACGAGCTTCAAAAGAAAGAGAGACCGAGTCACTAAGCAGAGAATTAGATCCGAGAGCAAAAGAGATTATGAAAGTTCTTTCACTGGGCAACCCTGAAACAAGTTCTTCAACTCAATCTATTTGTGCCCGTGAAAGCAGCATAATTTCATGTGTGAAGCATAGTGAGGAAGCAACATGTTCTTTCTTTTCATGCTTTTTAGTGATTTTGTCAAATTATTTGTATCTCTGTCTCCTTTCATTAGTTGAGTCAAATAATACCTCCTCACTTCTACACCAACATACCCAGTGTAATCCCACAAGGGGGGTTTGGGGAAAGTGAGGCTGTTTCCTCACTGAGATAATTGAATTTGTTATTGTTATTACATATTACTGTCATTGTTGTTACCTATTGATTCTGGTTCTCTTGCAGAAACAGTAAAGAGCGTAGGAAACTCTCAGTATCAACTTCACTTTGAAAAGCTTCTCACCTCTCTGGTAAGCTAATTTAGTGTCGGTGCATCTTTTAAAGTCAATATGACAGTAATGCACATTTTTTCTGATTTCTTTCTTCACATGATTCTGTTCATAGGTCTCATCAGTGAATTTTCCTGGCTCTACTAATCAATTGTCTTCCTCAGTTAAGCAAGGCAACAGCCCTGGTAGGCTGGAAGACATACTTCCTGCTAATAAATCATCTCTTAGATCTGATAAGCTAGCCAAGATTCTGGCCGTAAAACATGCAAGTAATTTATTGGTCCCTGGACGAAAAGACATGCCAATTAGCAATCAGAAAATAATTGACTTGACGAAACATGAATTGGCTGATGAACCACCAAAAGATGTTGGTGCACCTTGTTCTATGAAGAGGCCTCGGTTAGCATTAACAGGATCTGATTATCAAAGTGATCATTTTCGAAAGCCTCATGATAGTCCTGACTGTTCCTCAGTTGCCCATCACCTGTTGTCAGAAAGTGACTTTAGATATTTATTGAATAATAAGAAGTCACAGTACTCTGATAACCAAAGTACACGAAACAGTAATTTAGATAGAGCAAACCTTCTTGAAGATGAGAGGACATCACGAAAGACTGCAGGGTTAGTTGACCTGCAAAATGAAGATGGCATTCTTAGCTCTGCACCTTGCAATAATGAGGAGAAAGGATCGGCTTTTCTTGTTCAGGTAAATGCTGGAAATTTACTCTTCCTATATCAACTTCTTTATGTGTACTAGCGTGCGGGACAGCATTTGTCTTTCTTGCTTTAACTGCAGTGGTGGCGTTTCTGTCTTTTTGTCTATCTCAATTTAGTGTCAGTGATGTTGAGCAACTAAAGATTGCCTCTGTATCTCACCTAACTCCCTATGGTTTTTTTGATGACAAACTCCCTATGTTATTTAATTTATGGTGATATTTCTGCTGTTCTGTTTGATTTTCTTTTGAAAACACTTTGCTGATTGATATAGGAACCCGTAGCATATCTTGGTATTTTACTATGTTGTATCTATTTCTTGTCACAAATTTTCTTTTTTCTAGTTTCTGGTTTCACAGGTACTTGAAACTCTGGTACATTAAATAATCATTGACTATTGAGTGAGTGCACAAATGTGACCATGCTGAAGAACCAAGTTGACATAATTATGAAGCAGAAGGAAATTTAATGCATTTCCTCTTTATATGGTAGTGATCTAGGGTTTTCTTTGGGTGATTCAAGATTTAGACTAATATGAGAAGACTTAGTAATTCTGGTGTGAAACAGGATCTTCTTCTATCACTAATGGATAAACTGGGATACACCAGTCACTTGGACAAGACTATATAAGACTTACTAAATGCGTCTCTTCGATCTAGCGTATATTCCCTTGCCATTAATGGAGCTCCAGCGTGAAATAATAGGTGGTCTCCACGTATTCAAATTCTTTCACTAAAAAGGTTCAGATTTAACCCCCAATGCTCGACTATGGATTAAAATTACCTTCAATTTGAAGCTCTGTTAGGGGTCAAGGGCAAGAACGGGAAGTCTAAAGGAGGGCAAGCTTTATCAAAAAAATTAAAACTTAATAAAAAAAAGTTTATAGGAGAGCAAATCTGATTAGTTTCAGATAGAACAGGGGAAAATGCAACCCTTTTCCCTCTTTATATTATTGGACTTTCTTAACATCAACTTCTAAAATTAATCCTTACAAGCTCATTGTTCACAAGTTACTTATCATTGCTTTACCAGAAAGGACAGTATTCCATTGGGCTTGAGATTTTCCCATCTTGAATTTATCTCTTGTAACTGGCAAAGACTTCTACTGTATAAGTAACAAAATTTGGGGTTATTAGTTGAGCGTTTCTGCTGTGATCTCCTATGCAGGTCAGGGAAAAGCTTACTGATACAGAATACCATGAATTCGTCGGGTATATGAAGTCACTCAAGTCTAAAGCAATGAAGATAGGCCAAGTTCTTCAATCTATCATAAGATTATTTTCTCTTCCTGATAGACTACCTCTCCTTCACAGGTATCATCTCTGCAGTTAGCTATTTTTTCCACTGTTGCATCTGAATTTTAATCTAATTGTTGGTTATGTTGCAGATTTAAGGATTATGTTCCCGCGAAGTACCATTCCTTGTATGATCAGTATTTAAAAAGAAATCATGAAGTAGCTCACTTGTGATGTGCAAAGTCATCTTTGTAAAGTTAATGAGTCTTCCGTTCTAATGAGGAAAGCTCTCATACCCCCCCCCCCCCCCCCCCCCTTTGGCAGGCACACAGCCATGAAGTCAGCCAGTGAGTAGTGCGTCCATGTGATGGATAAGGCAAGGAACCAAGAGTAGAAGAGGACAGAAGCAGAGTATACATATCTTACTAAATTCAATATTCTTGTAATATCGCACTTAAAAGGGAAAGCGCCAAGTGATTTCTTCTCATATATTTAACCATTGGTGGTGTGCTGATGAAGGTGGTAAGTGCCCAATGAAATAGTCGAGATGCATGGAAGTTCGACTGAACACCATCATTGTAAAAAAAGGTGTATAGAAGTTTGTTGTTGGGAATTCCAATCACAAACTGGAATACCCTCTATAGGCACTTGATTTTTGGACTATTTAATCCTCAAGAGCGGATCAAACTGTGTATAGCGTGACTGTTACTCCAGTAGTTTGGGTAAATACCTTTGTTTTGCATCCATTTGAAATACCATTGGATCAACTTAATATTTTTTGTTTTTCACCATTTGAGGTTTATAAAGAGATTTAGAAAATATAAGAACTGTTGTACTTTTTCTGAGAGGTAAATGGAGTAACACAGCCGCTGAGTATTCCTATAGTTGATCTCAACTAGTTCGAGATTGAAAATGAGGCGTAGTAATTTTGTGTTTACTATTTGTGGTTTATTGCAGTTCAAGCCAAAGAAATTTCGTGCAATGCTTATTTGTACACTAATATTACCTGTTGAAGGAGCTGGGGCGGAGCTAAGTAGGGTTGAAAGTGGGTTCGGATAATTACACTATTTATACATGATTAAAATTGATTCTTATGTATATATAGTAGATGTTGAACTCTTTTAATTTCTTCATCTTTACTTATTTATATTGTGAACCTAAAGTTCTGATTTCGCCATTGAAGCATAGCCATTTCGACGGTGACATTCAGTTCTTGATTAAGGCTGTAGGTATGAAAATGTTTAAAAAGTGATTTTTCACATATGTTTTGGAGTTTATTAAACAGAAAATAATATTCAAAAAAATTTGCTGTGACAAACAAAGAGCGGAATCATCCGAGAGTTTTGGAATATGATTTTCCTCTCACCAAAGACCGAGTCCAAAACTTTGGTTCTTAATTAATGAAAATATCCGATGTGTTCCTGAGGAAAAGAACTTTTAACTTAAATCATAAATAAAGTGACATGACCAAAATAATAAAAACTACTGATATTTGCATGTGAAGCAACAGAAAATAACAACTCATTGCTTTTTACCCACTAAATTATAAATTAAACCAGTGACTGATTTCTTACGTTAAGTATTCCTTTGGTTTAATTCCCCACCCAATGGTCGAACATTCCGTGATATCGCCGGTACTCTGCCGGAGTTTTCACGCAAAACGACGATCTGATCCACAAACGCACTAAGTATGTACTTGTACGATTTCTTATCGTTCAAATTTAGGTAACAAAACAATAGCTCCTCCATGAATTCCCAGTTGATTTTGCCTTGATCGTTCAACCTAGCCTCCATCATCTCCTGCATCGATTGCCTGAAATCGTCGTACGGACTCGGAGAATACGTTACTAGTGTAATAAAATCATCCGCATTCAGTGTTTCCTTTGAGTATTCAGTACTAATTGCCGATAATTCATTTGAATTGGTGTTGGTCGCGGTGGTGATGGCTGAGGTGGATCCAGTGTCGTCAGAAACTGTCATGCTCGTCCGTGCTTCTTCAATTAGGGAGCTTGACGAACCAGGTGCAACGAAAAAACGACGAGATCCGGTGTGATTTAATGGTGGAATGACGTACCTGTTGTTGAAGATATAATTAAGTACTCATTTCAAATGAGACGAGCGCTTTTAGTCAAATAAAAGAGTTAAAAAACTCAAATTGTGTTATACCTTGGAGACTCAGACAATGAATTTGGACTTCCTGCAATTTCTTCTTTTTTGCCTTTCTTCAGGATGCTAGTATTAGCTTCAGCTTCATTATCGTCATCTTTGTAATAAAAGGATTTAAAGTTCTCAAAGACGAAACGATCAACATCTGCAAGTGTTGCAGCGTCGTTTTCGCCTTGTACATTCTTCTCTTTGCGATCAACGGTGGAAAATGAAGGCGTTTTGGGGTGCCTACACCCGCGGAGCAACCAGCTAGTGGACGATGAGAGAGTCTTATTGGCGGAATTAGTAGTTTGTTGTGGTGTGGGTTTATTTTTTTTCTTTGTGAGGTAATCTGAAAGAGATTTTTGGAGTTGCTTAGGCATTATGCTTTGATTTCTCTGTTTTTGGCACTTTTCTCTGCTTTGTGTTGTGATTAGTAAATATGAGAATTGGGGATAAAGAGTACAAATTAAATGAAAAAATCTGAAACGGTTTAGACATAATTAATTAGTCTAATTAATGAAGTGCTTAATGGATGGTTATTGATTATGAAGAAACGTACTAAGATTTTGTTTTTTTTGTTTATGTTCTTTTGGGAATGGTGGGGAAGAGGGCATTAATTCTCAATTTTCTATTTTGTAAATCCGATATTTTAAAGTGTCAGGTTAATTGTGAATACGAGCAAATATACGCACAAAAAGAAAACTGGTCGATTATGAAAAAAAAGACTTGTTTTTATCATAATGCGTTTAAATTGGTATTTTTACCTATGCTGTTTTGTTTCATGTAATAGGCTCGTCTGTACCATTTTCCGTTTGTGATGCAATTAGTGTAATCTTTTCCCTAGAAGAGTTATTAGATCTAGGGGTGTGTATCGATCAATTCGGTTTTATGTATTATCAATTTGGTTTATCAGTTTTCGATTTGTTAAATACGTCAAATCAATAACTAAATCAATAAGATAATTTTTTATCGGTTTTTGGTTTATCAGTTTTGGTCCTTAACGGTTCAGATTTCGATTTACCCAATAAAAAAATACTTATAAAATAAATATATGACTTCGCTAATAAATTTAACGTAACAAAACAATAATGTAACTTTACAAATGCACATAAAATAGAAACAATATAGAACTACACAAGTGTAACGAAAAGAGAAATTAAGAGAAATAGGGTTTTTACTTAGATTTTGACGTTGTGTAATGTCAAGTTATGAACTCAAAGTCATTGTGAAGTGTGAATTTAAGGCTAAAGGACAAAAACAGTAACTAATAAGGTATTGAGATTAATATATAATATTTATATACAAGTAAAAGTAGTAAATTACTAGTCTTAATGGATTATCAATTTACCCAATAATCCAATATTAAAAACCGATACCAAACTGATAACTCGATAATTTTTTTTCTTATAAAACCATTAAAAAATCATTAACCAAATAACCCAATAATACTTTTTTCGGTTCGTTTATTGATCGGTTCGATTTTTGAACACCCCTAGTTAGACCATCTTCATTCCACCTCTATTTTAAAGCATCTCCAACCTTATCCTCTATTTTACTCTCCAAATATATAATTCTCTATTTTGCTCTCTAAAAAGGAATATTTTTCTCTCTCCTCAATATTATATTATTATTTTCATTTCACTTTTTATTTTCTTATTTCATAATACTTCCTTCTTCTTTTTTTCCAAATAATCACTTTATATAATTTTCATGTTATATAATTTTTTTTTATTTAATATAAAATCAAATTGCATTCTAAATAACATAAATTGCAAGCAAATACTATATAATATACAAATTAATGGACATAAATTGCAAGCAACATTATTGTGATAAAATTATTGTGTTATATATTGTATTGTTATCTTGTACTCCCTCCGTTCACTTTCACATTTCACACTTTAACTTGACACACCCATTAACAAAATAATTATTGATATAGTTATTTTACCAAACTATTTCATATTAAAGATGTCTTGAAAAGTGATTTGAAAAATAAGTATTTAATGCTGAGGGTAAAACATGAAAAAATATTATTGTCTTTTCTTGATATGTCAAAAATGACAAGTAAAAATGAAAATCTATTTTAGAAATAAGTGACAAGTAAAAGCGAACGGAAGGAGTATTTCAACCATTATTTTTATGTATTTTAGTTTTAAAATCAAAATTTTCATCTTATCATTTTAATCTTATGCATTCTTCATAGTGAAAATTAATAATAATATCAAATTATATTAAAGTGACGAAAATAAAAGAAATTGAAATATTATTAATTCCAGATTAAAAAAGTATATATTAAATAACATATTTTAAAAATGTTATATTACATTTAAAAGGAATTACGTATATTAAAGATTTAATTAATGGTCTTATATGAAAAATAACATGTTAATTACAAAATAATAGAAATAATAATAAAATAATTAAAAAGTAAAATAGAGAGTGTGAATAATATTTCTCCAAATTTGGAGAACTACTATTCACATCTTTATAAATGGAGAATAGAGAGTGAATTAAAGTGTGGTTGGAGAGCACACTCTCTATTTACTCTCTTAATATAGAGAATTGAGAGTAAAATAGATGCGGGTTGGAGATGGTCTTACTCTTCATTCTCTATATTTGGAGAGTAAAATAGAGAATAGACACTCCAACCCCTCTTTATTTGAACTCTATTCTTCATTTTTAGAGAAGTGAATACTTTGGAGAACTACTATTCACACTACCTATTTCACTTTTTTAATATTTTATTATTATTTCTATTATTTTCTAATTAACATAATATTTTATATATAATGCCATTGATTAAATATCTAATATTCATAATTCTTTTTAAATGTAATATAATATTTAAAAATATATTATTTAATATATACTACTTTCATCCCGAATTAATATTATTTCAATTTTTTTCTAATTTTCGTCAGTGATATAATTTGATTTATTATTAATTTTCACTATAAAGAATACGTAAAATTAAAATGATAAAATAAAAATTTTAATTTAAAAATACAATACATAACATGATAATTTAAATACAAGATAACAATACAATACATAACATAATAATTTAAATACAAGATAACAATACAATGCATAACATAATAATTAATTTATCACAATAATAATTTGGTGAAGGAACAAGAATCGTGCAACAAAAATGTTGAACAGGCATTCAGAGCTTTGCAATCACGTTTCGCAATTATTGTAGGACCATCACATTTTTGGAGAAAAGAAGTGCTACATGATATAATGACTACATGTATTATACTGAACAATGTTGGTGTAATATACCACAAATACAATAAATTACAGTTGAAATAAAATGAACAAAAATGAATAAATAAATCTTTAGGTTGAGGCACGAATATCTCGCTCTCTTTAAGGAGATTCAAGTCTACTACGGCATAATATACACCGATCTAGCAGTAATATTCTTGACTTGCCCCCTCCAGAATACAACAGCCCAACAACGTCATACAACTCAAGCAACTCCGGATTAGTTGAAGAGTCCAAAGCTCCACATAAGAGCACCTTCCTTCAACATATAAATACTCTCTTTTGTATAGTGAATATAGTTGAAGACTTTTAGAATATTTTTCTTTGTCTCAACTCTATCTTTCACTACACTAACCTCAATATAAACTTCTCATCTTTTCTTCCATTCTTTCTCTTCTACCCAATACAAAGTAAGACCACACTATTTATAGGTAAGAAATTCTTCCTTACAATGAATAAGAAGATAATTGGTAGTAAATTGGGTAAAATGAATAACCCAAAGGTTACAAGACATAATGAGGTAGAATAATGAGTGGAATTAGTGGTAGATCATGTCAATAATGGTTACAAGAGTTGCACCAAAATAATGACTAGGGGCGGACTCACCTTGGCCAGTGGGGTGTCAAGCGATACCCCTTCGCTGGAAAATTACATTGTATATAAAGGTCAAATTTTGGTTTTATATATATATATATACAAGTGAAAGGTTTAATTTAGTGGTTAAGGGGTTGCAAGAATTTCTTAAGGTTGTGTGTTCAAGCCCCATTAGGCTCATATTATAATTTTTTTTTCTTACTATAACCATTGACACCCCTTTATGAAAATTCCGGATCCGTCACTGATAATGACCACATTCTTGTCAACTTATACCCACTAACATATGCACTTAATTTTTTTATTTGTTAATATTAAAATGCATAAACACCAACACACAACATGATATTCGAGGATGAACGTGATCTTAATGCACCAATTCAAGATGTCGCAGAGGCTCCAACTCCACTGACATAAATGGTGGTAGATGAAAATCTCTTATTTTACTAATTTTTAGCTACACATAAAAAAATTAAGGACAAAAATGCTTATTTTGAACTCCCTAATGCATCAACAGAACATTTATGGGAGGAACATAATAATTTTGAAAGTTGAGTATTTATATAATTGCATTTCACTTTTATTTGAATTTGTCCAATAATTTGTATATTATATAATATTTTCTTGCCATTTATGTTATTTAGAAATTTAGAATATAATATATTTTATATTAAATAATTTTTTTAAGAAAAATAAAATTTTATGTTAATTATATAAAGTGATTATTTGAAAGAAAGAAATGAAGGATTTATATTATGAAATATAAAAATAAGAATGAAATAAAAATAATAATATAATATTGAGGAGAGCCGAATCGGGTCTCCATAGAAAAAAATTCTGTTTCGAGAGTAAAATAGAAAATTGAGTTGGAGTTGGTTGTCTGAAAAAATAGAGACTCTATATTTGGAGAGTAAAATGAAGTATATGGTTGGAGATGCCCTAGTGGATTGCGGGCCAGTTGATGTGAATGGTGCTTATTTTGAACCTATTTATTTTTAAAAGCTATTTTAAAAAAGTAGCAATGACAAACAGTCTCTTTGTAAATACAATGTTTGTTTTGATTGTTACTTAAATTTTATTGTATCGTATCGTTTAAATTCTCTGTTAGGTAACGACGAAAAGACCCATTTTGTGTAACGACTGTTTTGGTGTGACCACATCATTACCTTACTATTTTCATCTCATTTTATCTTTATTTATTATTTAATAATTCTATTTTTCCATTTACCCTACTTTTTTATTGTAGTTCTACCCCGTATCCTACAATTTCTTGTAGGTTTATTATTCAAATTATGAATATGTGACTATATGCGACTAAAGTTTCGCTCTTGAAATACAACAAACAGGAAAGGAAAATAGCAAGTAAACAATAGTATTTGTATTTGAATTTGTTCGAATGTTACAATCTTTATGAAATCTTTAAGAAAAGAGATGTAATACTCTAATTTTTCTCTTCACAATTGTTCTTGATTTGATGAAGTACTTGTCGTGCAAGATATGTAATCCGTTGATTCTTCTCTTTATGATTGTTCTTGATTTGATGA